TTTTCCCGTTTGATAGATCCCACACAATATCACCATGTTGCTTACAGATCTCGAAAAATCTAAGTTGTATATATATATATATATATTATATGTTGTCAATAAAACACCAAAACAAATCACCATATGTTTTCTATTGTGGTTAAACCAATAATAAACCATCCCTCAAATCACCATTTGTATAGATTATAGATGATTATAGGTTGTATAAACCATTTCCAAATGGGTGGTTTATGGCACTGTTTTACCAACATTTTATTTCACTGCGTTGGCCTTTCGACCCTGCGAAAATTATTTATGGATTTGGGGGCCCGCCCGGCCTCCAAATCTGTTCTTGTGGCTTAATTGCTTTGACCCAGACTTGTGATTCTCTGTCTTCTTTTTTTTGGGGCCACATCATTAAGAAGCCACAGATAGACAGCAGTGCCTAGATCTTGAGATGTGAAGCATTGGGTCTTTTGGAGTGCTTCCATGTCGTGATTCAACGGTGTCACAATTGAGGATCCTACTGCCCATGCAGTTGTCATTGGCGGTCCTGTAGCCACTTGGTTTGCGGAGGAATGCGTGGATAGGGTTGCGCCGGTAGGTAATGGTAGGTATTCCAAGCAGTGTGTGTTCCACCCGGCTATGCGAAGGGTATTCAGAAGAAGTTGTTTTTTGATGACAGAACCTGGCACATGACATTCTGCCGCATGTGCCCGGCCGTATGCCCACGATTTCGTGGGTTTTGGCGCAGCTTTGGCCAAGGATTCGTTGCTGCCATCACGGCCTGCCAACCCTAGCAGGCAACTTCTGCAGATGGCGCATGTGCGTGCTGCTTGGCACGAATGCAACAGCCTATGGGAAGACAATAATTGGCCCAGGGATATAAAGTGCCAACTGCACTGTCGAGGGGCTATGTGCTTTATTTTTTTTTTTCGGATTTTTCTTTCTAAATTTCACGGAGTTCTGTGGATGTTGTGGTGTATACATGCAGTTGTGCTTTGGGTTGTACACAGCAAAGACCCAATGCCAGCCCTTATGCTAATTGTAGATGGCTTTGACATCCATACCTTCCTGAGTCAGAAACATTGTATCGTTTGCTGCTTTTACAGGCCCTCCTCATGCATTGATTGACATAGAATTTCTATGGAACATCTGGTAGCCGGGTAGCCCAAATCTTGAGGCAGCCAACAGTGTAGCCGCATTGGTCATAACACGGTTTCATTTTGCAGTGGGTCTTTGCCTCCCCCTTCGGCGCAACCATCCACAAACAGACCAACACATACTTTGTAACATTTTCACCTGTAGCAGAATACACACCTTTCATTTTCCGGCTGGCCTACCGAAAATGTAATAAGCAGCGGTGCATGAACAGTATCCAGCAGTCAGAGACTCCATGTTCAAGGCAGTGTGCATTGAAGGAGAATATCTTTACAATTCACATTAGGGTGAATCCTTTCATTTTGTCTTGCGCATTTGCCTTGGCAACCTTGAAAGCGTAGGCACTCAGACGCCTCATTTGCCTAGCTTGTTGAGAGGGCAGGAATCTTACCCTCAGGTTGCTTGCAATCATGGATAATTCGCCCAAGTTTTGTTGAAACAAGCTTTCTTAGGCACAGACAGATGGCAGTGCCTAGATCACATGTTTGGGAGGAAATAAAGATATTTCACCCAAGTTTTTGTTGAAACAAGCGTTCTTAGGCACAGACAGACGGCAGTGCCTAGATCACATGTTTGGAGGGTGATTATGGATACTTCACCCAAGTTTGGTTGAAACAAGCTTTCTTAGGCACAGACAGACGGCAGTGCCTAGATCACATGTTTGGGGGGTATTCATGGATATTTCACCCGAGTTTTCTTGAAACAAGCTTTCTTGGGCACAGGCAGACGGCAGTGCCTAGATCACATGTTTTGGGGGGTAATCATGGATAATTCCCCAGAGTTTTGTTGAAACAAGCTTTCTTAGGCACAGACAGACGGCAGTGCCTAGATCACATGTTTGGGGGGTAATCATGGATAATTCCTCAAGTCTTGTTGAAACAAGCTTTCTTAGGCACAGGCAGACAGCAGTGCCTAGATCACATGTTTGGAGGGTAAACATGAGTAATTCCCCCAAGTCTTGTTGAAACAAGCTTTCTTAGGCACAGACAGACGGCAGTGCCTAGATCACATGTTTGGGGGGTATTCATGGATATTTCACCCGAGTTTTGTTGAAACAAGCTTTCTTGGGCACAGGCAGACGGCAGTGCCTAGATCACATGTTTTGGGGGGAAATCATGGATAATTCCCCAGAGTTTTGTTGAAACAAGCTTTCTTAGGCACAGACAGACGGCAGTGCCTAGATCACATGTTTGGGGGGTAATCATGGATAATTCCTCAAGTCTTGTTGAAACAAGCTTTCTTAGGCACAGGCAGACAGCAGTGCCTAGATCACATGTTTGGAGGGTAAACATGGATAATTCCCCCAAGTCTTGTTGAAACAAGCATTCTTAGGCACAGGCAGACAGCAGTGCCTAGATCACATGTTTGGGGGGTATTCATGGATATTTCATCATATTTCATCCAAGTTTTGTTGAGACAAGCTGTCTTTGGCACAGACAGACGGCGGTGCCTAGATCACATGTTTGGGGGGTAATCATGGATACTGGGTAGTTGACCTTTTGTTTCTCCTCACACGGAAAGTCGTCCCACACACGGTGTCCCGTGCAGAAGTAGGTCAACAACCCTCATCCCTCAGAGTAAGGCTTTGGCAAGGAAGAAAGCATTCCAACACAAATCGTATTGGCGCACGCGTTTCTAGACTCTGTAAAGTGCAGTGCCCCCTTGTTTCCCTGATCACCTTTTACAGCTGCGATTTGTTACAGAAGGGCATTTCCAGCTGAACTGATGCGGCATCTATCCGCGCTGTGTACCAGTAAACAGAACGATAGGATGAAACAAAGGATGGCCAATCGCAACAACGCTGACGAAGCACCGTTGCTAGCTCCTGCTGATGCTGTGGGAGAGAACTCAGCAAGGAGCTGTTTGCACAGTACACGTGATACTTGTGATGAATTGTGATGGTAAAGCTTTTCTTTTCAGGTAGAAAGATCATGGTTTTACAGCAGTAGGCGCAGTAGCAGTTGAGAAGGCTCAGCAGCCCAGCCCCCCAGGCAGGATCCCACGAATTATTGGTTTTGCTTGTTGAGGCTTACTACCTGGTCCCTTGCGTGGGTTTGAACCTCTTTTGGTCTCGTTTGGGCCTCCAGGGGTCTCGTTTTTGGTTTCGTTTTTTTCTCCTTTCAATTCCCCGAATCGAAATATGGTCAATATGGTTTGAAGAAGCCAGGCTGTTTTTGGTGAGGACCGGTGTGCCAGTATGATTTGCACGCTTTGAGATGTTTCTTGAAACATGCTGCCAGCCTACCAGTAGGAATAGCGTGGAAATGTACATCAGCTCTGAAACCTAAAAATCGGTGTGCCAAGTGCGAGAGTAGTTCAGATTTCATTTTTTGAGGCTTTGGGATGGCTTGGGATAAGCAAAACGCACTGGCACACGATGATGCCAGATCTCCGGCAAGTAATGTTCAATTTTGGTGGGGGCCGGTGTGCCAGTATGATTTGCATGCCGTGGGGTGACTTATTGGAAGCCTGGGGTGACTCTTGGATGACTGTGTGCCATGCGGGGGGGGTGACTTAATGTTAGGGGGGGTACGAAAGGTCACGCTCGTACTTCCCCCAAGTTTTGTCGAAAGACATTTTCTTAGGCACAGACAGACGGCAGTGCCTAGAGCACACGTTTTGGTGGTATTCATGGATAATTCCCCCAAGTTTTGTTGTCACGAGCTTTCTTCGGCACAGACAGACAGCAGTGCCTAGATCTTGAGATGCGAAGCATTGGGTATTTTGGAGTGTCTGCATGCTGTGATCAACTGGGACGAAAAGTACAGAGATGGATAGATGGATGGATAAATATATGAATTAGAAAATGGCTAGATAGATGGGTAGAAGGATAGATAGGAAGATAAATAGGTAGGTAGGTAGATACAGTAGATATCGTTGACGAATCGACCCAGGCATATTTGCACCATCAAGCCATTGCTTTCTGAGGACTTTGGCGGCGCACGCATCGTGGCCACAAATGATGCGGCTACGGAGACGGAGCTCCGCTGGTCCTGGTGCAAATTGACACATTTCCCAGATTGATGAAGAATGCCATAGTTAGTCACCAAAGTCGACTAACACCAACGTTTGTAGTCTGCAACGCCATAGAGGGATACCAGGAGATTTGGACCTTTTTTCACAATAGGTTGCCCTGAACAGCAAAATGGCCCTTGAACCATCTATAGTGCTGGCAAACTAGGGAGGCACGTCTACAAGCCATGGCCAGCGGCCAGTTCGGATTTTTGACATGGCGAAGATAAGAAAGACATGCCACTGCCATTCTAGCTTCAACCACACCAATTGCCGTCATTTGCACGCCTCTTCAGTCATTTTCACTATTGTGGAACGTCAGACAGACTTTGTTTCCTCTTTCTTGGAAGCAAGAGTTGACAGACAGCAGCAAAGACACAGCCCATCAATAGGCCAGCTTTGGTGGCATCGATCTGGGCGAGTCTTTGACTATTGAGACATCACAGCAGGAGATCCGTTGCCATTCTGTCGCAGGGTCTCTGGTGCGGACATGGGCATTGTACTCGCCATGGTTCTGGTGACTCTTTGGTTTTCAGGTTCTATCGAAATCATCATTTGGAGGAGATTGCATGTGCTGAAGCAATCCTTAAGACAAAATCAAGATTCTTTTAATGCAGTGTTACTTTGTGGTAGCAGCAAAGGCCGGAATGTGCATGTACCTGCGTAGGTTTCGATACATGGACCACAGTGAAGTCTCATTCTGGCCTGCACTGATGCGCTCTTTATTCGTGTTTCTACCCCTAAAGCACCAGGGGGATCTCCCATGCGGGTTTGCCTGGCGCGAGGGTCTAAGTGAAAGTTTTTTTTCCAGTTCTCAAGGCCCTGTTACCGCATTCTCTCTTGCAGCCATGGCCATGGTGTCTTTGGGCTTGGTGGCACTGCCTGAAGAACATTTCGAGAAAAACGTTAGCAATCCGGGCAAGGCCGGCCGATGTTGATTATGTTGATTGTTTTTTGGCTTGGCGTTTTCTTTTTCTGCAGCTGGCAGGAGATAAAAAACAATAGTCAAAATGAATATCATTGGGGATCATGTCAAAGAAGTCCTGCAAACAGGGTTGGAACCCTGCCAGGTGGCACCAGCAAAGGCCCTTTTGACCCATCAAACTCCAGTTGCAGCCATCAAGCATGCATTGCGCCAATCAGCACGGGCTTTGGGGACATCAGTGAGTGACCCCGAACATATCCGCAAGAAGCTTCCACCCACAGAGGATTGCAAAGCGCTCATGGCTGCCGGCCGCATCTGGGTGATTTTCAAGCTGGAGATCCCAGAGGCCGAGTTCCATCTCGATTTGAAGTCTGGATATGTGAAGAAGCAAGCCGGAAGCGGCTTTGAGATTCAGACCTGGGACCCTCTCAGCCCGAAGTGGCATGCGTCCACTGCATCCAGGACCAAACTCTATGTTTCTGTGTGAGTGAAAAGGTCCTCACCAGCTTTGTGCTCGCCAGGATGCCCGAGGCTCCAGCTTGGTCATTCTATGTTGGAATCAGTGCCGACACGGCAGCTAGGATCCTTGCGGACCCTACTGAGGCCCGTGGCTACATCTTGGAATCCTTCCAACACCGGGACATGGGGAACTTGGTGTGCAAGTGCCTGGCATCAGAATCAATTGCTTATTTGGCCTGTTGTAGGCACCAGAAAAGATATAATTACTCAATCACCAAACAGTTTATTTCTGCTAGGCCTGCTAGGCATGTTTCACCATGACAGGCAAGCTGGGCATAAAGTTGCTCACTTTTTGGCCGGCGTTTACGCCATTCCATTCTTTGAAGACAAGTACGGCTGCGCCTTGCTCCAGTCAATTTTGGACGAGAAGAAGGCGGAGGAGAAGAGCCACATCCTGACGATCAAGGTATCGTGCTTGGATGTTGCAGCAACGCTGCAGCATGTCCCCGGCATGTCCTCCGTGTGGGTTCCACGCGATATGGACAATCTATACAAGTGTCCTTTCCATGTGTCTTTGGCGACATTTGCCTTGGCTGATCATTGCGTTCAAGAAGCCCAGCCTGCCAGCCTATATCGCGAGAAGAAGCAAAACGTTGAATTGTATGACTCGCGCAAGAGGTGCAGGGTACGCTGCCCAAGAATACTTGTTTTTATTGTCTGGGCTCACGCGAAGCAGCTGTGGCTTGAATGTTCTTTTTGTATCGGATGCCAGATATTGTGCTTTATTCCCCACCTGCCAGGTGAGGGTTGTTAGATTTTATCAGAGTTGTTCTTCTTCTCCTCCTCCTCCTTCTCCTCCTCCTCCTTCTTCTCCTCCTCGTTCTCCTCCACCACCTCTGCCTCCACTTCCATGTTCACTTCCGCCTTGCCAACTCTTCTCTTCGCCAAGCTCTTCCCCAACTTCCGCACCCAGTCACCACTGCTGGACCTCAACTGCAAGGGTCTGAGCGCACTGGGCACCGCTGGACCTCAACCTGGGACCTTCCGAGCTCAGTGAGCACCACTGCACCTCAACCTGGGACCCTCCGAGCTCAGTGAGCACCGCTGGACCTCAACCTGCCACTGGACCTCAACCTGGGACCCTCCGAGCTCAGTGAGCACCGCTGGACCTCAACGGCCAGATAGAATGCCAGAAGATATGCCAGATAGAACGCCAGATAGAACGCCAGATAGAATGTCAGAAAGAATGCCGGAAGATATAGCAAATAAAGTGCCAGAATGTTTGCCAGATAGAATGCCAGAAGATTTGCCAGATAGAATGCCAGAAGGTATGCCAGAATGTCAGATACAATGCCAGAAGGTATGCCAGATAAAGTGCCAGAATGTTTGCCAGATAGAACGCCAGAAGATTTGCCAGATAGAATGTCAGAAGATATGCCAGAAGATATGCCAGATAGAGTGCCAGAAGGTATGCCAGAACATATGCCAGAAGATATGCCAGGTAGAATGCCAGAAGATATGCCAGATAGAATGCCAGAAGATATGCCAGATAAAATGCCACAAGGTATGCCAGATAGAATGCCAGAAGGTATGCCAGATAGAATGTCAGATAGAATGCCAGAAGGTATGCCAGATAAAGTGCCAGAATGTTTGCCAGAACATATGCCAGAAGATTTGCCAGATAGAATGCCAGATAAAATGTCAGAAGATATGCCAGAAGATATGCCAGAACATATGCCAGAAGATATGCCAGGTAGAATGCCAGAAGATATGCCAGGTAGAATGCCAGAAGATATGCCAGGTAGAATGCCAGAAGATATGCCAGAGAAGATATGTCAGATAGAATGCCAGAAGATTTGCCAGTAACAAAACGTGTAGATGTCATGGTGGGGATAACTCGAAGTAAAGTAATTTTCTCCTACTCTCAAGTCTTTGCTATTAGAAGCATGGCTTGTATCAAAATGAGCACTGTCACGACCGTCATGAGCCAGCTGCCATTGCCAGGTTTGGATGTCTCCATGATTTTCCATCGCAGGCCCGGTGGGGTATGTGAGCACAACTTATGTGAGCACAAGCACAAGTTCCGCTCACTTACTATCAGATCATGTGGATTGCCCCATGGTATTCAATGATACGAACCTCTGAGATATTACGGTCAGTGTCGCACACGCAACCCCGAGGGTAATCTTGAGAAGCACTGCCTTGTGTTTTTTACCTGCCCTTTATGCTACAAAGGGGCATGGTAAGAGATCACAAAATTTGCTCGCGAATACGGCCGCTGCCGCATGCGAGATCAGACCCGTATTGCATTCAGCAGCCGCCTCTAGTCAGCATGTCCTCGACCTCGAAGGCTCCTGCCACCAAACGGCCTGCAGAAGCTGAAATCGAGTGTGGCAGTGCAGCCAAGAAGTTGACGACAGCAGAAGCTGCGAAGTTTGCGGCAGAAACCGTCAAGGCTTTGAAGCCTCGTGACCAGCAGCCTCCGGAGAACATCGTGCCAGTGAGCAAAGTGGTTGCAGCATCACCGCAGACAGCTGGCATGCCACCGGTGCTGCAAGCCCCTAAACTTCCAGATCTAGAAGAAGGGCGTCACTTGGGCGCTTGGACTATCATGAAGCGTGTCATTCCTTGGGCCACTTGGCAGCATATGTTTGCTGGAACCACTCCTAAATTCAGAATGATGCCATTTAACTGCTGTCGGTTTTGATTAATCAAGCTAGATTTAATTGAACTCCTCTGATCTCCTCTGCCATGTTCTGTGGTTTGCCATCCTGAGTTTCGAGCATTAGCCCCTGCAAGATCTTCTAGATTTCTTTCAGAGAGCTTCCCCCTGCGCCACTTGTGATTCTCTGAGGTGCTTCAATCCTTGCCGACTTTCCTTTCGAAAGCTGCCTTGCCATCAGCTGCATCTTTGGCAGACCTAGCACCGCTGGAGATCCAATCATCACAGTCCCAGGGCCTCAAGAACTTCAAGGAGAAGTGGAGCCCGGCAAATTGCCTGCAGGCTATCCAACATAGTGGCCTCTACGAAGCCGGCCGTTCGCTGTACTGGCTGGACCCGGGCTTGAGCTCCAACGACACATTGCTGCTTGAAGAGCCGCCCTATGCAGAAGTCCTTGAGGCCGAGCAGATTCTTTGCTGCAGCCATGGGGCCGGAGATCGCTTCTTCTTTCCTGGCGCTTTTGGGTGCTTTGCTCCCAAGCATGTGTTGAACACGGGTGAGCTACCAACCAAGCTGTCTCTTCTGCACAAGCACACGCAGCTCTATGCCTGGTACGTTGCTATGTGCAGGGCATGCCTGGACACGGATTTGGAGCAGATCAAGAAGCTTCATGAGATGGCCTTGACTGTCACTGTCAGGGCATTGGCCACGACCGATAGCATCAGCGTGACCCTGGAGATCCTCACGGTCAACGACAAGTCTCGACAGGGAAGCAATTCGGACACCTTTTTGATGTTCGCAAAGAAGGTCCAATGCATTGAGCGCCAGCAGGCCGCAACAACCAAGAAGGATCTTCTCCAGAGCTTGATTTCCAAGAATGTGCGCTTCAACGGCACCAAGATCAACAAGACTGTTCTTGATGGGGCCTTGAAGGTGGCAGGCATGCTGAGCGATGCATCTTCTGAGATCCTGTCTCGCATCCAGCGAGAACATGGCCGAGATGTTTTCTCCAACAATTATTCCAAATTGGCCCGCTTGTGCACGCGATGTCAGAAGCAAGTGGCTACTTTGGAGAATGTTGGTGCTGGAGGCGGCGCTGAAACATTGCTTGAGTTCACCTTGGGGGCAGCCTATGTGGCAGTGGCCCGCAACCAATGCAGCCCGGACTTCTTCAACGTGGAAACCATAGACCCGCGCGGTGACGAGGTGGGCTGGGCTTGCGGGACCTTTGCTAAGATTGCAGTTGCGCACCAGATGGTTCAGCTCGCTGAAGCTGCTTGGCAACAAGCCCCTGTGGGAAGCTTGAAAGACGAAGCCAGAAAGACTTCAGACGCTTTGAAGAAGCTCGGCACACCTTTGGCTTTCCATTACGCTGTGCCCAAAGAGGTGGATGCTGGCTGCAGCAACGCAGCAGAAGATGTGCTTGAGGAAAGGGATCCACTTTGTGGGGTGACAGACGGGCTGGATGCAAGTGGTGTGAAGGCAGTGGAGTTTATGATTTCGTGGAAGCCGCCAAGGTGTCCAACCCATGTTCCCACCTCTTGAAGCCGGATGTGACCACCAAGCTGGCGAAGAGCATGCGCTCATGCACCGCTGCCGGATCCTCAAGTCCAAAATACTGATTCAATTTTTCATACAAGACGCCAGAACTGGCGAGACATCATGGAATCTTATAGTTCTGAAACCACGTTACTACAAACACATGCAACAGGAGCCATTCCACCAGAGTTGTTTCTTGCTTTTGCAGCCCCTTCCAAATCACTCAACATCCTCAGCATTTAAATGCGCAGCCCCTTTTGAAATTTATTCAGCATCTTCAGCGGCTGAGGCCCTTGCAATTTCCCATGTTTCGTGCGAAGCCACGTCAGCACCGCCTGTCAGCTTGAGGGATCTTGTGAAAGGGGATGACGAGCAAGAGGATGAGCAGAAGACTGCAAGGGAAGCAGAGCGAAGCCACTTGTGGCGGGAGGCGCAGACGCTTGGGAAGAAGTACGTGCAGTTGGGCCTCTGGCAAGGCCGCACAATGGATTCGCTGGCTACTTTGTTTGCAAAGAGCCCGGCCAAAAATTTTGAAGGAGTTCTGAACGACAGCCACCAAGCCTTCGTCTTTTCCAGTGACTTGTAGCTCGAACCTGACCAATGGTCAAAGGTGCCTGCCTTGGACAGAGCATCGTTGCAGCCAGCCTTTGACTTCATGAAAGCACAGTGCAAGGAGACCTCGATGCTCTTGCTCTTTGATGGTGGGTCGCGCTCGAACCGCCAATTGATCGAGCAGACGTTTGGCGACAAGGTCCCGGGCGGCGGCGGGCTGTTTGATTGGATTGTGCTCTACCGGCTCTACCGCTCCACAAAGAGTGCGCCAGGGAAGAGGAATCGAAAGGTGTTTGCTGGCTCTGTCCGTTGTGAAACGGCCTTCCTCCGACTATCAGTCCCACGGGTGAGGTTGGCTGTGAAAGCCCGGGAGGATGACTTCACGTCGAATGAGGAGTGCAACACCAATGATTTGCACATGGTCAACGTTTCCCCGCCCGGAAAGTTGCCTCGCATTCTCCGGTCTGACAAGACCCGTATCTTCCCCGATGCCACTGTCCACAACACGGTGAAGTCCTCCTCTGTGCCGCTGCTTCTTGTCAAGATTTCAAGCCGGGATTTGTTTGATGACGGCTTGGGCATAGAATCTTGGTAGACAATTTGTCTGATGTCAACTGACCCCCGCTAAAGCAACTTAGTTCGCATCCCACTTAAGAGGCATCCATGTCAAATTCAGGATATGCCTTGTGCAGGGGAGATGATGGGACAAAGGTAAGACGATGTCAGAATGATCTTTCAGAGACAGTTTCAGAATATGGCAGAATATATGGCCGAAGACATGTTGGGATATGTGTCTGAATATATACCAGAAGGGGCGCCATGAAAAATTAAAAAGTCTAAGGACCTGAAAATGGCAACTTGCTGGGTGGGGGACCATTGGGAAGCACCCGTGGGACTGATAGTCGGAGGAAAGCTTTCTCGCAGCTAATGGAAGCTAATGGATGGCGTTACCAAGCACGGTGATTTGGTTTATATATCAAAGAAGCCGTTTTAGGCACAGACAGGCGGCAGTGCCTAGATCACAGCATGTTTTGATGATATGGATCATTCGCCCAAGTTGAAACCAAACAAGCCGTCTTAGGCACAGACAAACGGCAGTGCCTAGAACACGTGTTTTGATGATATGAGTCATTGGCCCAAGTTGATATCAAACAAGCCGTCTTAGGCACAGACAAACGGCAGTGCCTAGAACAAATGTTTTGATGATATGAATCATTGGCCCAAGTTGACATCAAACAAGCCGTCTTAGGCACAAACAAACGGGCAGTGCCTAGGTCACTTTTTTTAAGTAACCCAAGTTGAGATCATCGAAGGAAGTTTAGAAGTCAAACTTCCGACAATATGGACAGATGAAAAGCAGAGCAGGGCAGAGGCAGAGAGAAGAGAAAGATCAGAAGAGAGAAGAGTAGAAGAGAAAGAGTAAGAAGAAAAAAGATGGAGATGCGCGAAAAGGTAGGAAAGTCGCGATTCACTGTGTTTTTCCAATGATTTGTGGCTCCGGAGGGTCGAAAAGTAGGCTCGCTAAAGCGGCGGGTGCGGAGCCAGCTGGCCAGAAGACTCCCAAAAGCCAATGCCCTGTTGCGCCAGGTGCAGGAGTCCAAGGGGAACGAATTTTGGGAAGCCGTGTTGCAGATGCTGGACGTGAAGAACGTGTGCGATCTAAGCCCAGGCAGTGGAACCCTTGCATCCACTTGCCTTCGGATGCAGATTCCTTACCTTGGAATCTTGCGGAGCGATGCCCACCACAGCTACTGGGGGAACGTTTTGGACCGACAGTGCCTTCAGTACCTGTCAGACTCCAACTCCATCCTCTACAATGAAAGCCTGTCAGAGCTCATTCAGGAACATTTTGCTGAGACGCTCACCGAGCTCAATGAGCCCGACGTTGATGATGCTTCCGACCATTCTGATGGGTGAGGCAACAAGCGCATAGCCCGGTGATTTTGCGATTTTTGCATAGTAGGTTGTCCTGCTCGCTGTTTTGCAGCTTGCGCGACATGGATGGGATGCCCGTGTAAACGTCCGTATTTTTCCACCCCATGCTAGGGATAACAGGACATCTTGACATTTTTGCAGGGCAGGTTTTCCTTAAGGGCAAATGGAACCTGAACCATCCACAGTGCTTGCAAACCCAGCACTTTGGCAATAGAAGCTTGGCGTGGGACCTAGAAGCATGGCAAGTGACCAGTTCGGATTGCGGACATGGCATAGATGGAAAAGACGTGCTGCTGTGATCCCGTATGCACCCATTGGCAAATGACCAATCAGTGATCCGTGGTGGTTTACCGGCATTTTCAGTCAAGGTCACCATATTCGAAAGTAAAATAGATCTGGCCTTATTATTGTTTCTGTTGGGCCCAGAGTTGACAGACACCAGGGCAAAAGAAGACAGACAAAAATCCAAGAACAGCCTGTCTTGCAGCCAGGCCAGCCCCTTTGCGCCAGAAGAAGGTGCATCTACTTCAGGGGATGCTGCCCACATGTTTGATTCAAGGTTTTCTTATGTGAACAAAGCAACGGGTGACCTACCTAGTTTTTTTTGGCATCAGTCTGCAGGATTGAAAGCCAGAGCATGCAACTATGTGTGTGCTACACATCTCGCGTTTGCCTTATTCCAAATTTTGCCTTACTCCAAGTTTCTCACCTGCGCCCCTACCCCTGTGCTGCGATAGGGTCGACTGGAATATGAAACAAGAGGAGTGTGAAAGCTGTTTTGCATGGCTCAAAGTTGGTTGCCGGGTACATTTGACAAGGAAACCCTGAATCCCAGTTGGGCTTTTTGATCTTCGTAGTAGAAACTGTTTGCAGTGAGATTCGTTACCATTGTTCCCCACCTGCCAGGTGAGGGTTGTTAGATTTTATCAGAGCTGTTCTTCCGCCTCCTCCTCCTTCTCCTCCTCCTCCTCCGCCTCTTCCTCCTCCACCCTCGACCATGTCTGTATCAACTTCCACGTCCACTTCCGCCTTGCCAACTCTTCGCCAATCTCTTCGCCAACTTCCGCGCGCAGTGGGCACTGCTGGACCTCAACTGCCGGTTTCCGATCTGAGTGGGCACGGCTGGACCTCAACCGCAAGGTTCTGAGCGCAGTGGGCACCGCTGGACCTCAACCAGCAACCTTCCGAGCCCAGTGGGCACCGCTGGACCTCAACCTGGGACCTTCCGAGCTCAGTGGGCACCGCTGGACCTCAACCTGGGACCTTCCGAGCTCAGTGGGCACCGCTGGACCTCAACGGCCAGATAGAATGCCAGAAGATGTGCCAGATAGAACGCCAGAAAGAATGTCAGATAGAATGCCAGAAGATATGCCAGATAAAATGCCAGAAGATATGCTAGATAGAATGCCAGAAGATATGCCAGAAGGTATGCCAGATAGAATGTCAGATAGAATGCAAGAAGGTATGCCAGATAAAGTGCCAGAATGTTTGCCAGATAGAACGCCAGAAAATTTGCCAGATAGAATGCCAGATAGAATGCCAGATAGAATGTCCAGAAGATATGCCAGATAGAGTGCCAGAAGATATGCCAGAACATATGCCGGAAGATATGCCAGGTAAATTGCCAAAAGATATGCCAGATAGAAGCTATGCCAGATAGAATGCCGGATAATATGCCAGAAGATATGCCAGATAGAATGCCAAAAGATATGCCAGAACATATGCCAGAAGATTTGCCAGATAGAATGCCAGATCGAATGCCAGAAGATATGCCAGATAGAATGCCAGAAGATTTGCCAGTAACAAAATGTATAAATGTCATGGTGGGGATCACTCGAAGTAAAGTAATTTATATAACCTGTTTTTTCCATTGTGCATGGTGGAGATGCCGCAGTAGGAACAGGACACAGATGAGGACGACGTAAGCAATTGGGATTTCGAAGCTGGTGTCAGGCACGATGATGACCTGCGCATTAGAGTTTTTTTGCTGTTTGAAATTTCCGTTGAATAAATCCGGAATTGCAGAACACACATTGTTCAGCATGTCAAATCTCTGTCAGGTTGCAAGATCTTTGCAACAGGAGCTGTTTGCTACACTACTTTGGATCCAACCTGCTAGAAGGACTCGATAGGAGTAGGCGCAGGATACAGATGAGGACGACACCACACGCGTCGGCGGGTGGTTTAGAAGATTAGATAGATAGATACATAGATAGATAGATAGTTAGATAGATAGAGATAGATTTAACATACACATATGTTTACAGATATTTATTACATATTTTCCCCCTGTTCCCACCGTTCTCTCCGTTCTGGTGCGGCGTTCCCCGAAGCGTTTGTTGGGTCCGCTTCCCTACCCTGCGTATTGCGTGATTGTATGCGTAGGTCACGCTGGCGACTTAGTCTACCGCTGTATTTAAAATAGAAGTTTCGTGCCAAGATATACACTTATAGACTTATAGAGATCCAGTTAATCAATGAATCTTTCCCATCATTACGCTCCGCGCCCACGGGCCAATTAAGAAAAATACCCAAAGAAACATAGAGAAAACATACCTTTTAAAAAACCTAAAGAAACATAGAGAAAACATCCCACAGAAAATCATTCTCTGCGGCTTCTTGAGCCGGAGACTTCCGAACGTCGCAAGTCAATCGACTGATGCAAATCTAAAAATTAAAAATTGTTCCAAAGGTCAAGTCAGGCGTAGAAAAGCAGTTCTACTTACAGTAGCAAGTGGGTATAGCCATAATCATTGGGATTGTATTCCAATTTGTTGGGGGCTACATTGCATACATCACCATAGATCCATTGATGACCCACATCCACCAAAAGCTGGGGCATCAGCTGCAGCAGCGCTAGGTTGAACACCCAAATACCCTCCGGTGTCATGAAACATGGCAGCAAAATCCCCGATAAACATTGGGCAAATGATAGAAATCTCCTATAAACACTGGGCAAATGATAGAAATCCCCTATAAACACTGGGCAAATCATAGAAATCCCCTATAAACACTGGGCAAATCATAGAAATCCCCTATAAACACTGGGCAAATCATAGAAATCCCCTATAAACACTGGGCAAATCATAGAAATCCCTGCAATTAGATAACACTTTGAATGGAAACATATGGGAACAATCATTGAAAATGGTGGAATTCCATGGTGGAATTCCATGGATTCCCCAGCCATGGAGCTGACACCGGTCACCCCGAACTCCTGGATGATCAGCTCGAAGAGCTTATCACAGGGCTGCTGTAATCGTGCGAAGGCCCAGCAGGTGTTGGACAAGTCCTGCTGGGTTTCCATGAACGAAGAAGTTGGGTTCTGCGTGATCGAAAATGGATGAAGATTGTTGATGTCTATGGGATGTCTATGGGATGTTTATGGGATGTTTATGGATGTTTATGGATGTTTATGGATGTTTATGGGATGTTTATGGGATGTTTATGGGATGTTTATGGGATGTTTATGGGATGTTTATGGGATGTTTATGGGATGTTTATGGATGTTTATGGGATGTTTATGGATGTTTATGGGATGTTTATGGGATGTTTATGGATGTTTATGGATGTTTATGGATGTTTATGGATGTTTATGTATGTTTATGGATGTTTATGGATGTTTATGGATGTTTATGGATGTTTATGGCCTATATAAAG